TCATGTACGCAAATAAAAGACGCAATGGCCAAGTGGTAAACGCGCTAAGTGTTGGGTTTTTGAATTGGCCAAGACACTGACAGGATCATGAATCTGGCAGTGCCTCCCTCTATGCAGGAGCTAAGAGTATAATCGCGTAGCGAGGAATTAAACGCTGGGAATGATAATCTGGCGATGGACCAGCATCCCGTCAAGTAACTTAAATACTGCTAATATCGCTACATGCTATGGAAACCACACACAAACAGCAGTCTGAAGAGCCACAATCAGGACACAGTGCTCAAAAGTAGCCTTACACTTTTTACTTACATTATTCTTTAACTTAAATTACCTCCATATCTTGTGAAGTAGGTTCTATTGATTTCAATTCAAAGGTAGTTTCGCCAGAGTTGCCGTCATCTGAAGGTTTTATGCGAGAGAGCTCAAAGTCATGGTCCAGATCCAACTGGGTCGTATCCACATGAACGAGCTGCACTTTGCGTTTGCGTAATTTTGAGTCTTTCATTTCTGAATTGTACTTGAGAAAAAATATACAATAATCTATCACCGACTGAATGGAGCTATAGCAAGGAGTGACAGACTACATTCGAAACGTTCCAATTAAAATTTATATACAATTCTCAAGTGAATTTCGTTAATCAGTTTAGTGCTTATTTCGGCCCTGAAATACAAAGAACCCCTTCTCTTTCTACTTATCAAAAACAGTATCTCATGTGGCACAGGACTTACCACGATTTCTTTTATTTTTCGAATAGCTCTCTTCTGACTCTCAATAGATCCCTTGATAAAGAGCGCGCCATCCTGATTGCTTTTGGGGTCGGTTTTAAATTCTGCCCCTGTATCCTCTGTTATCTCTTTCAACTTCCCCTTGTTTCTTCCAATAACTTTTCCCATGTATTTCCTGGGTATAAAGTCAAGCTTTTTCCAAGAGTCTTCTCCCTAAACGAACATCAACAACAACAACAACAACAACAACAAAAAACAAGAACATAAGAAAGAAGGTCAGAAACGACGGAGTCTGTGGGAGGAAGAGACGGAGAAAGGTAGGAAGTGAGGAAGGAGGGACGCCTAGGGATGGAGGAAAGAAGAGAAAAGGACGGCGGGGAAGGAAGGAAGGGGGTGCGGTTGAGATTGGGGCTAGTGAAGGAATGTTAGGATGTAAAAATTATTAACGAAATTTATATAAAAAGGG